GTGGTAGTGTCAAAACAGTAATTCCATTTTCTTTGCAGTAATCAAGTCCCTCCACTGAGAGATGGGACTCGTGGTTATCCATGATTAGTAAAATTTTATTAGTATCAGAGCAGAGTGTATTTTTGACAACATGTTTAAGTACTTTCAAAAAATTATCACTTGTCATCCATCCTGAAGGAGATACTAATCCTAAAGCAACTTGAGGAACCCCTTTCATCATGCGGTTTTCATCAAAACGTTGCCGTGGGAATACCCATATAGGAGGCAATGCTTTTCCATCAGCAGAAATTATGCCCACTTGTGTAACTAATTCTCCACGTTCACGTGAGGTCACCTGCCCTATTTGATGTTGACCTTTTCTTCCAATTATTTTAGGTACACGCTGAACTGTAGTAACCCCAGTCTAAAAAATAAGTGATATTAATTATCAAAATAACTAAACAAAATTGTTAATTGACTCACTTCATCTAAATTGAAAATCGCTGAAGATCCAAAAGAATGACGACGTAAAACTTCTAATTTATTTTGAAACGTCTCAACAGTAACTTTGTTAAAACTCGTCATTCTAGCGAGACTAGTGGCTTCAGGTGTTCTAATAGATAGTACAGGATGACGTTTCATGAAACCTGAAAACCAGTCTGTTCCAGCTTCTTCATTTTCGCTCCATGTAGTAGGCATTTTAACATGGTTTTTCTTGGCAAATTCAAAAGCTAAACGTCTTGCAGCTTTAGGCGTTAGTCCATGAAACATGGAAAAACAATCTAATAAATATTTTTCAAGCATTTTTTCCATTATATCGGTAAACACTTGAGATTGCTTGAAATTTGGAGAGAATGTTACGTTGTCTATACCCACAGCTCTAGCTTTCTTTATGTAATCTAGAAGACTAGATTTAGGAACGCCGTAGGTTTTGGCGCTATTCCGAATGCTCAATTTGCCGTCAAGCACCTCTGATGTGGCATTTTTCATAGTGTCTGCCGAAAATTGTCGTTCTGTTACCCTTGTATATGTACGGGGCATTATGAGCTGTAAGAGAAAAATAGAATAACTACAGATCAGGGGAGACTTCGGACACACAGGGGAGAGTTCGGACACTGTGTCCGAACTCTCCCCTAATGCAAACATTGGTAATACAATGGGTTTATAAAAAAACTTACCTAAATATTGCAACAACATAAACGCAAATTAATGAAATAAGTATAGTAGATTACAGCACCAAAGTTTTATACGTGGTAAGTCTATGTATTTTAAAATATATCTTCTGGATTGCACCGATATTTTTAGAACAAAACTCGACAAAACACTTCACAATAGATAACTCTGTGACTACGACCGAAATCACAGCTGTCAATACATAACCTATAATTATGTACAAATAAGGTTGTGTTTACCAAATGACAACAGTGCATCTTCAAAAATGTGCGAAATTCAAATGTGTCCGATGTCTCCCTGTGTCCGAACTCTCCCCGGTCTCCCCTAACTAGGTAGGTATGGAGGGTGGCAGTAAACCAGTGTTCAATTGTCTGGAGCGTTTATTTTATATATTCAATTTATTTATAAAACGTGATTGATGTCAACGTAAAATAAATGAAAAATTAATTTGAATATAGTAAGTGTACCAATTGTTGGACAGCCCTAGCACAGAATAATAAACAAACAGAATACCCACTCTCCACGGAAAATTAAGTACGCGCATCTCCTCCGCGCAGACGTTCCGCCATGTTTTAGGAGGATTTTAAAGAAATTAGTGTTGTTTATGTGGTGTGCATGGAAAAATTAACCAGGTTTATTTGACTTACGGCAATCATAGACATACTATTCAATTATATTAACATTGTTAAATATAATAACATAAATATAATATAATTAAACATAAATATAAACAATTACATAACCACACAAATCATATGTCTGTGTCCTCCTAAAACATGGCGCGCGTGCTGAAAAACTTCAAAGGCGGCATCTGAGAGTGGCCCTTCTGATTGTTTATTATTCTGTGGCCCTAGTATGTGGACTAATATAGTCTATGATCCTTGAAGTAGTTGATAGCAGAAGTGACTTACGCTATTTGTTTACATACCATACAAACATCTCCTGTCGAATTAGCTGCCTCAGTGGCCTTGTCCATTTTCTGTTTATCATCCATCCGGTGAAGACAATGGCTAGGGTCACTGGCTGTCACTTTAGATACACCGGAATCAATATTGTTTTTCTGTTCTCGTCTGAGCTGTACTACCTCTATTGTTGCCTGCTTGATTGATAAATTTTTGTTAATATTTTTCTGTATTGTGGTTATGCCTCTTTTTTTAGAAGGAGAGTTCCTTTTTTACTTTTTCTTTTCCTTTCTTATTGCTCATTCTTTGTTGTCAAGGTCGCCATGTGCGGCTGGATTTTCACTACGCTAGCCCAACTGAGGTTTAGATTGACATTTCCCCAATAAGAAAGACATATTGTACATTTTTAACTTTATTGAAAACTACAACGTGCTTACAATTGAGGTAGTTCGCGGTTGCGACTTATATAATGACAGTGAGGAAATTTACTTTAAAATATGAACGGTTTGTGTTTACATTCGTGGCTTTTAAATATGCGTTTTACAAGGCCGGTTATAATAAATGTTTAATTATTTACAATAACATTTCTCACTTATTTATTATTTGTTTTACCAATATCAAATTCGCTATTGACCTAATTTGTGTTCGAACGCATGTAGAACAATTTGCTTTGAGTATACTAAGATTTATTAAAATGTCTTAAGATTTTGTTTCCATACCATACATGTCTTCTGGGGAACCATTCTCTTGTACACAGGTGTCGAACGATATTTGTTTATTATGTGGAGAAATAGACAAAGATAATGAACATCTGTACTTGTGTAATATGTGCAATGTGGAATTACCAGAGTGTATACGATGTCACGCCGCTAAGAACTTCAAATCTCACATTCGCTAGGAGCCATAGTAAAAATAAACATTTACAAACTTTGATCTTGTTTTTAAATTATATACACATATTTGTAGATACCCGCGCAATTAACTTGTAGGTTGGTAATCGTGTGTAAAACATCGTGTTACTGTTATCGTAATGAAAGTTTTTCTGTGTTTATTTTTTTTAAATTGTTATCTTACAAACACAATGTAGAATGGTTATTATATTTTACTAAATTCTTTTCTTTGGTTTAGTTTCTTTATTTTTGTCAAAAAATGATTTATATTTTATGGTTTCTACGCTTATCCCTATATTGAGTGTTAGTTATAATTTGATGTAATATGGCAAGTACTCCGTTTGAAATTTCCTCAATATAGAACGTCTCAAACAAAAATATTTGCCACCGGCGGCTTTCTTTGTATACCAACACATTTTACTTGAAGTATAAAAAATTACTGAGTCGTGATTTTATTACTAACATAGTACATTCGAACAACATATATTTCTAATTTCTACGTACGAAGACCGCTTTACATAACGACAGTCAGCAATTTAATACTGATAACTTATTACTAGTGGACCAAGTAACCTATTACAACATCTTTATTTATGACATAAAGATGTTGTAATGTGTGTTGTGTCAATGTAATGTGTTGTGTCAATCAGTGCTGCTTAACAAGTTTTCGGAATGGTACGGAATATAATATTATCGTACTTATACAGTGAATTTATTAACCATCAAGTTTTAATGATTTTTGTTTAATTTCTTGTGGTGTGTATTGTAGGTTTTCTTAATAATCAAAGTTCTGCTATTATAAGAATATATTATTATTAGAAAAGGAGGTTCCATCCACATATTGTTAAAAATAATTCTTGTTATCTAAAAACTGTTATCGATAAAAAAAATGGACTGCAGCGACGATATCTGTGAAGATCGTATTACCATGAAGTTCATACTTTGTCATCATAATATTACATTTTCGTTGATGGATAAAAATTAAATGAACTGGTATTATTTAACATTTTTGTGGGAATTACACGCAAAGCAAGATGGTCAATTTACATGTTATGTAAAATGGTATTTAAAATTTACCTTACTATTTATTTACTTTATATTTACTATTTACTTTACGCCAATATGCAAACGCAAACATCACCTGAAATATTAATAAATAAAACTAATTAAATGATGTGAAGTTTATTTAGCAATCTTAATTAAAATGTCATTAATAAAACAAATTTTATTGGGTGTAATAAATTTTATAGAGTCAGTGAAAAAAATCGGGAAAGTCTGATATTTCTCGAAATGAACATCAGATCGCAAAACTGAAAAACAGGTTTTCAATATTTTTTTAAAATCTACTGAATGACTTCAAATACGACCCACCAACCATTTGTAACTTTTATTTGATACATTTTTTAAATTGCTGATAGATGGCGCTCGAAACGAAAAAAACGATTTTATGCGAAATCAAATACATATTCAATATTTTTCAAAAATCTATCCAATGACAACAAACATGATCCCTCACCCTACACCCTAGTTGGTGACAGGGCAACTTTAAAATATTTAATAGGAACCCGTTTTTATTTTAGATTCTGATTTTACCAAAGAATTTTAAAAAACTGTGTACCCCAAAAATTAGTTTGCAGACTTCTGATCTGTATATGATTATCTGTGATTAAAGGGCCATCTATCTCAAATCGGAAAAATAATAATAGACCAAGCTTGTTTACTATGTCACGTAGAATCCTAATCTGCAATACAAAATTGTAATTTTATCTCTCTCTTCATATATGATTTAACTTATATATACATTTTCTTAGGTGTGTACGAATTTACTGAATATTCCACTTTGTACTCTATAATCACTGCTTTTAGGTATACCTATCCAAAACATGTTTAAAACAAAAACTTTCCTTAACCATAACAAAATAGATTGGGCCAACCGGGGGTGGATGTTCACGTACGACACGATATGGATGGCCCTCCAGGTTCCGCTGCCGTCCTTCATCTACAGTTTCTTGTCAACGAGGGGGCCCTTATTTCTGCCACCGCCGACGACACCCTACACCTGTGGAATTTCCGACAGCGAATTCCACAGATCGTTCAAAGTCTCAAGTTCCAAAAGGAAAAGTAAGCATCCAGTATTATTTTAGTATTGACAGCTTGATATATTGCGTATTATATTCTGCCTATTCGTAACTAAATCGCCAGAATCAGTATGTGAGCTATATTTGGTTTAGTTTTATATAAAATAATCAGTAGTGTACAATTAAGTACAAAAATTTAATTTTCTATTTGTGTATGGTATTTGTATGAAAACTCATGCTTGAAACTCATGTATTCAGTTTGAAAATTATTATCAATTTTATAACACATCAGATAATCTCCAATGTATTTGACATTTTTCTTATCTCAATTATTGTAGTAATTTTAATAAACCAATAATGGGGATACCTACTTAAGGTAAGGCCAAAATGCCCTCACTCTCCTAATTTAATATTTCATTTTTTTTACGTTGTATGTGAATAAAAATATAGTGCGATTTTAAACCGCCACACAGTGAGTTGCAATCAATCTAAAAAATTCAAAAAATTCACACGCATATTTGAAGCTTTTACAAAATTTATAGACCCGTAGATTGAGTGCAAATAACCTAAAAATGCATTTTTTTAAGCGTATAACTTTTGTTTGAAGATGGCTGCAGTTCTAGTTTTTTTCTATTTTGTGTATTTAAATAATATTTTTTGAGATCGATACAACGGTAATATGTAGCTGCAGGTTTTTTTTGTATGTTGTGTATTTTGTAAAAAAATATGTTTCTGATTTTTTTAGATTCTTCTGTAGGCCACATTCAAAAAATCGAAAAACTGTTTTTAAGGATTTTTGGTAAATTTTGCCCATTTTACAGACCTCAAAATAGATCAAATAAGATTTTTTTATATAAATATGTTTATTTATATAAATATAAATATATTTTATATAAATAATGTTTTTTTATATAATAAATATGTAATTTAATATTATATATAATATATAATTAATTTAAATATATATTTTATATATAATTTAAAGCAAGTGAGTCATTTGGGACATTTAAAGATTTTGCAAAACACCTTTAAACCTCCAAAAAGTGATCCTCCTGATCAGAAAAGTTTTCACGGGTTTTGCAGGGTTAGTCATATTTTGAGATCAATACAAGCCAAATAAATTGGCGTTTCCAATTCATACTTAAAAAATATATGAAAAAGAAAATTTTCAGGCCGTAAAGAAGCAAGCATAACCGTTGTTTATGCAAAAAACCAGTTTTTCAAGGTTTATTTGGGGGGTTTTACTGAATTTAGCAACCTTTTTTCAGCTTTTTACATACAACATGAGACGAGATTTTACAATCTAGTAAAATCCCCAAAATCAATTGAAAACCCAGCTTTTCGCATGTTTCAAAAAATTTTTAGCTTCTCTGAATTTGGGAAACACATTGTTTCGTGTTATTTTATACAAATTTTGAATACATGTTGCTTAATGATGAAGAAAAATAAAAAAGTTGGGCAAATTCAGTAAGAACCCTCTAATAACGCTTGAAAGCCTGATTTTTTTCATAAGCGATGCTTAGTTTTGTTTCTTGAAGCCCGAAAATATTATTTTTCATATATTTTTTAATACAAATTAATTAGCATTGAATCAAGTTGTTTCGATCTCAAATAATCTGTATAATTTCGCAAAAACCCTTAAAACCTTTGAAAGAGCAGGGTTTTGGGGATTTTAAATGGGAGAAGCAGGGTTTAAAGGTGTTTCGCTCTATGTTTGAATGTACTAAAGGACCCAGTTACTTCAAATTGTACAATAACTTATAAAAAATCCTGGTTTTATCTATTTTAAAGTCTATAAAATGGAGAAATCCCAACAAAGACCTTAAAAAAGAGTTTTTTGGATTTTTGAGGCGGCGCATCTGATTGTAGTTTGTTTATTCCCTCTTCAATAGTGTGAGCTACGCTTACACATCATCAGCAAATGGCAGTATCATCAGCAAAGGTGGCAACGGTCATCATCAATTAGCCTATGTTTGTCCACTGCTAAACGTAGGCCTCTCGTAAAATTTTCCACCTATTTCTGTCTTGAGCTTCTTGCATCCAGTTTGTGGTAATGCGCTTGATATCATCCGTCCATCTAGTCGTTCCCCCTGCTTCGATATGCATCTTGCCTTGGTCGCAATTCCAGAATATTTTTGGTCCATCTGTCATCCGTTAATCTGGCAACATGTTCGGCCCAAGCCCATTTAGCCCTGACTATTTTTTCAACTGTATCTATGACTCCTGTTCTTCTTCTTATTTCTAGGTTTGGTACTTTATCTCTGATGGTAATACCTAATATTGATCTTTCCATAGCGCGTTGTGTAACTCTTATTTTATCTATTGTTCTTTTTGTCAGAGTCAGTGTTTCTGCACCATATGTAAAAATCGGTAAAACGCACTGGTTAAAAACCTTTCTTTTTAAACAAGTGGCAATGGTATTATGTTTTAATTCAGATATGTCGCACGTGTATAGGAAATAAAGGATCGGTACAAACACGCTACCTTGCGCAACTCCTGCTCAATCCTAGAATACAACAAAAAAATGTATTAGACTCTAAAATTTAAGAATATTCCAAAATTTTTATAACAATAAGTCGACAAGCTACATGAAGTACCATATTTTTCTATATAATATAAATGAAAATGTTTTTACAAAAACATGGTAAGTCAAAAAAATAAGAAAAGTGTCTACTTCACTAGATTTTGAGGAAAAATCATAGCTACTGGTCCTATAGTCTTTGTCTGCTACACTGTAATCACTACTGTCAATGAAACTTACATTTAATCTGCTGTTTTTGCTTAAAACTGCTCTTAATTTAGCACATGTACGTGAAGTTGACGCCATTTTGATGTTGCTTAATACGTTTTACGCCAAAAAGTAAGCAGAAATTTTAAGTAAAGTAAAACAGGTGATTGCAATAACACGATACACCAATAACTCCATCTACTGCAATAATTACCAAATAATTTTTTCTGTGGCAAAATACAGGTTTTTTTATGTATACATAATGCAATCAAATAGTATTTTCTAAAGTTGTGGCTTACCATTATGTTGCAATAATCTTTTTAATTTGAATCTGTTTGAATTTTTCATTTTTAATGTTTTTTAAACAAATATACCAATTACTTTGGCATTTTTTTACTTCACTGTAAAAGTTTTGTATTACATTTTACTTTGAAATTTTTGTAATTAAACGAATGCTTTTTATGGCATATTTTTGTTTCAGTAACTTTTACTGAATTGGATCGAATATCCGGCAACAGTTATTCACCAAACCGTTTTTCAAATACATCTGCATTCATGTTTTCATGACAGTCATCAGGGGACTGTTTTATATTATTAATCGGCAGAAACAAAGCACTAGCGACACATCCACGACACATTTGCTGCATAACCTGTTTTTGGCTTGAAAATATATTAGACTAAAAATGTTCGACAATATCGTCTGCTTTTATAATTTTGATCGACAATCCTATTCAGAATATTCTTATAACTGTCTGCGTGAAATACATAAATCGTTATTTTGAAACTCAGATGATTGATGAAAACATATATTCTGAATTTGAACGGGTTAATCGATTTCAAAACTCATCAGGGACACCGTATTCTTCACAATGTATAGATCACACTTTAATATGTATTTAATTTATATTCCTTGTCAGTACGAGTTCTATTAAAAAGTAGAATTATTTGAAATATGAATAATAATATCTTCTCCTTGTAGTTCCTTCTCCTGTCGGAGGTTGACTATCATCACAGCTATCCGTACCTCATTGGCGGCTGCTATAAAAATAACTACTGAGCTGCAACTATACCACTCTCTTAGGTTTCTCAGCCAGGAAATTCTTCGTCTTCCTATGGATCTTTCACCCTTGATTTTACCTTGCAATGTGACCTAAATATTCCAGTTTTCTTGTTTTGATGTGCTTTATGACCTCGCAATCCTTTTGTAGCCTTCTTAACACTTCTGCATTTGTAACTCGTTGAGTCCATGGTATTTTCAAAATCGTTCTATAGCACCACATCTCAAATGATTTCAACTTCTTTATATTATCCACTTTTAGTGTCCAGCTTTCCATTCCATACAACAAAGTCGAGAACACGTAGCATCTTAAGGCTCTTATCCTCAGATTCAGAGGATAGTCTCGATTGACAAACATTTTTATTTTTTGCATATTTCATAATAATATCACAATCAATCATATATTTATATTTATTTCACAACGAATATAGAAAATGATATTTTATATAGCTTCATGGAGTTTCTTGAACCAAACTACATTTAATATAAAATTTATATTTCTAGGGCTTATTTTCAATAAGTAGTATTAAATTTGGAACTAGATTTATTGTGCCATTGAAATCAACATTTTGGCAGGTAACCCTTGCCTTTGTCAAGATTCTAAAATGTACAAGATTAGGAACAAAAAGTTATTGTAAAATATCAAAACGTAAAACGGGATACTGGCATTAATAAATTGGCAGAAGTAAGAATTCATAGCTGATATCTCATGGTTTACTATCATTAGTATATAATTATTTTTATGTTAGCGTATCGGTGGTGTTTTCGAAAAGGTAAAGTGAAGATATGGTATAACTTTAAGAGTCTTTTATGGTGTTATATTTAAAATAGGTAAAGAAATAATGAATAAGACTTACAATCAATTTAATTTAACTATCAGACGACCGGTTTCGCTTTCTACAATATGCAAAGCATCTTCAGGACTCGATACAAAGTTAAATAAATGCTGAAATGATAAAAACCCATATTAGGGTGTTGTCTAATAAAGATAAACAAAGTAGATGTTGGAAATTACAATCATTATGCCAATATTACATGTCTGTGGTTTTATTTCAAAAAGAGTAAGTTGAATAAAAAGGTATAAAAGTTTTAAAAGTTTAAACAGACAGGGTAAGGTCCACAAATTGTCATAAAATAGTCTATTAGATTGTAATAAATTAATAAATGAGCAAATAAATAAAATAAACATTACTTACATGCCGGTACTCTAATAATTGATGGATGGTAGAACATGGTTGAAACTACTACGTATTGTTGA